AATCGGCATAAATTTTTTGAAATTTTGTTGCTAACGATATTTTATTTAATAAGAAATTCATGGTTACTGTGTATGGAGAAAAAATGCAAAAATCCGTCACCAAACAAAAAAATTCTCAAAAACGAACCAATTTTGAAGCCGTTTGAAACTTGCACTTCATTAGACCAAAATTGTATACGCTATAAAACTGCTTACCCAAAACTGTTTCGCAGATTCAGATTAAAAAGTTGAAATTTTGATTAAAATATGTTGAATTTTCTTAAATTTTGCATAAAGTTTGAAATCGTTTTTTTATATGGTTTTGAACTAAAGCTTAGACAATATTTTTATAGAAATATAACGGAAAAAATTCAACACGAAGAATATTATGAATATTCAAAAAAAAAATCAACACGTGGTCACTTGTTTGAGTTACTGTACATATGTATCGTAGAACATGTAAAGTATCAAAAATAAAGATCCAATTTCTGCTCATTTCTCTTTGTTGATATTTTATGTTAAGTGCAGCGCGTTTCCGGCGTGCAAAGTGCCACTTAAAAAATGGCCTAGGCTTACAAATTGAACTTTGTTATGGCGGCTGACGTTCAGCAATGAAAAGCGTTGAAAATTTTATTTTAAAAGCGATAAAGGTGTGAAATGGACGGCTATCCGCACTTTTGTTAATTAATACTGCACTTTCACACGGCATTGATGAAAAAAAGAACAAACGACCATATAACAAATTTAATATTATTTATATGGGGTGTTCATACCAAAACGGACGGGGTTCACACTTCATGTGTTTGATTTGTTTAAAATTTTTAGGGTTGATGCATAAACATAAATAAATAATAAATAAATATGAAATTTGAGCTTGATTAATACATATTTAAAAACTTTTCAGCACAAAAACAGAAACAAATCGATTTAATAGTTTTCCAAATATATCGAGAACGGGGCGAGGAAAAAAATTTAAAAAAAATCACACATTAAAATTCTCTACGGAAACAATATTTTTAAAAAATTTTTCTTGAAACATTTTTCATGTACACATTTTTTATAAAAAAAAATTGTTTTTGAAAATATGCCATCTCAAAAAAAATTACAAAATCACAATGGTGGCTCTGAGTATTGAGCAATATTTAAGTATAGTATTAGGGGGTGCACTCTACAATAATTTGAGTTATTGCTTTTTTTTACACCGAACTGAGTAGGCACATAACAAATTTACAAATTTTTTTTGCGCTTGCACTTTATTTCTTTTACTAAAATTTGGGCTACAAAACTGCGTACTTGATTTTTTTTTTAATTCGGACCAAAAAGTTAGATATTTTGATAATTTTTTTTTTTTATTTTTTGTAAATTTTCTAGTAAGTTTGACACTTCGACTTGCATAGTTTTTGTTACAGAATTAACTAAATTAAAAAAACAATTAAATTAAGTAAGAAAAGAAAATAATACATTTCACTACTATTTTTGTGAACACAACTGTACATACATACGCAATACCTTTATTTTGTTTTAAACTAATGGACTGTTCTATTGATAATACTGTATGTATTTAAACGTCTATTATGTTGTTATTTTTTGTTAAATTTATTCGAAAAAGGCGCTTAAAAATAAATGAGCTGACTTTTTTGGCTTTGTACTGATTTTTGTTCCCAACTGTACTGATTATATCACTAAAATATGTATCTAGCTACCCTATGTGTATGTGATGGCAATTTGAAATTATTCAGAATTGAAATTATTGAATTTATCCAGAAAGTTAAGAAACTTTTAGATATTCAGTTTTATAGCCCATTAAAATTTAGTAAGGTGCAAGTTTCAAGACGCTAGAAAATCTCGTTGATTTTTAATAAATTTTTTTAGCTGACGCTGTTGTGCATTTTCCTCCATAAAAAGTATGTATGCTCGACAATACTCGGAGTTCCTTTTTATATGGAAGAAAATGCCTAGCAGCGTCAGCAAAAACAATTATTAAAAATCAACGCGATTTTACGGCATCTTAAAAATTACACCTTAACCTACTAAAACTTAATTGGCTGTAAAACTGCATATTTAAAATTTTTCTTTCTTTCAATAGCTCAGTTCACAGAGCAAGAGCGAAAGTGCACCTGCCAGAATAGCTGAAAATATTTAAAGTACTGGTACCTCTAGGAATTTACGTTATGAGCGATTTAATTAATAAAGGACAGCTTAGCTTGGCTAAGCTTTTAAATAAATACATTCTAATCTCCTGATTTTTAAAGGCCACGGAAAAGAAAGCGACTTGTGCTAATTCCAGGTAAACTGCTCAGTCAGCCATCAGGATTTAGTCTCCTCGATTTACCACTGGCTAGAGCAATTTTACCAGAGTCCATATGGTTTTCGTAAATCGAAGGCACACAAATATTGCGATGTGGTGATTATTTTCGTACAGCGTGCACTAATCACGAATCCAATTTTCGGTTATATTTTTTCTGCACGGTTTCCATCTATGTAGTCCTCTTCAAATTCTCATAGTCGAAATTTTGTTTCCCATTCATACAGCTTGCACTAGTAAATAGCCTAAATTGAAAATTACCAGAATACAGATATAATGATTGCCTATTCAATTTGCTTCATATGTTCTACATCACTTTTGCTTGCGGCAATATACCTTCCTTGCCATTTACACACACGTATGTAAGTATTTGCCAGGTATTCTATTTGGTTACCTCACAGATAGAACTTCAAGTTAACGAACTCCTCTGCAGCACTTGCAACCGACTTACTTTCATCAGCGTATGTGTGCGTGCATGCATCTGGGTGCCTGGAATAATTATCATTATAATCATCATCAATGTCATTATCTGCATCTTTAGCCCTTATACATTCGTCTATCATTTGTTTGTTTTGCTTGTGCAAACAATTAGCAAAGCATTTCCTGGATGTTGCGTTTTACCCACATATTTATGTATGTATGAATGTACATCTTCAATCTACCAGCTGGTTTATCCATTAAGTTCGTTATTGGTACTCTCACATTAGCACTGGAAATCAAAATGAATTAAGTTAATTATGTAGGCAAATATTTAAACAATAGCATCTCAATTTACGCAAACATCAGCATAAATACTGGCATTGATTTTTAAGGAAAGCTGATGGTTTAAGTATACACGCATGTGTTTGTATGTAACTGGAATTGCATATTTATGTGCATATACGGGCATTGTCTATTCATATTTACATGTCTACATATGTATGTATTTTAGTAAAAATGTTGATTTGCGGATACCCGTAATTTTTTGTTTAAAAAAGAATTTATTTAGAACTGCCTGAAAGCCCACGAAGTTTTCTATGTATTTTATATGGGGAAAACCAAGTTTTCGTAGAAATATTATAGAAGTCTTGAAAATCAGTATTTCTTTTATGGAAAAACTCTGTTTTTTTTCAGGAGTTTTCCAATAATCATTACATATAAATTTTTTACATTACCATTTTTTTTAGCTGGGGTTTTTTTCTGGGTTCCCCATTGCATTCATTGGGGTTTTGAGGGACCTATAAGAAATAGTTAAATACAAAAAAAGGAAGAGTCCAGCGCCTTCGTCTTGGTCTGTATGGTTATGAGCACATCCAAATCAAAAACGAAAGCACACACTAAGAAAAAAATATCGATATCAAAAGCGATAAAAATATCGATAACAAAATCGATAATAATATGAATAGCAAAATCGATAAAAATATCGATAATAAAATCGATAAAAATATCGATAACAAAATCGATTATAACATCTATAAAAAAATCTATTACAAAATCAATAAAAAATATCGTTTATTATATCGATAAGTTCCGAAAATATCGATAGCAAAATCAATAAAAATATCGATAAAAAATTGCGATAACAAAATCGATCGAAGATTGCTTTCGTTTTTAACTTGGATGTGCTCTTAACCATATCACGTACTCTTCGTTTAAATTTAGCGGCTGTGTCTCCGATACAGCCTGCAGACCAAGACGAAGGCGCTGGACTGTTCCTTTTTTTAACGAACGAAACTACTTTGGTGTTGAATTTACCAACTTAAAAATTTAAAATTATTCAAAAATTTTTTCGCTAGCTGTTCTTCTTCTCGGGATCGGGTTCATTTTCTCTACTGGTTTCAGCGTTGCCATCATTCAGAAGGGTGGAGAAAAGTTCACTCCTCAATTGAAGCAAGCTCACCACGGGTGTTTAAACCTTCCGTAAATCGCCTAACTTTCTAATAAAATTTTCTGGCGTTTTTTCCTATCGCTTAGCATTTCAAGCTCTTCGCACTCCCATATTTCGGCCTCTCTCTTCTTATCGCGGCCAATACGTCTCGCGTCTCTCTTCAGATTTATGTATTGATCCCACAAAGTTCGCGTTGCTCCCGATAGCTACTTGGCCCTGTAAGTGGCACATTTTCTTCTCGGCAGTTCCGTGACATTCTGCATCATTTAATTTGTTGCTGCACAGAGGCGTGTGCGTTTCTAGGCTGCAACAAGAGTGATCTGAGTCGATGTTTGGTCGTCGGATTGCACGCACTTAGGCATCGTGGCTCTCGCCCATCAATCAAACGATCAGTATTTGAAAACGATCAATGTTTTTTCTCTTTAGCAGTATGATGGGATGAAACTAAATTAATTAACACCGTATTTTTTTGTATAACTTTTACTAATATTTCTATGCAAATTTTACGAAAGACAACAATATAGAATCATATGCATTACAACAACTTTAACTTTAGTGGAACTCTTAAATCGCGAGTTTTCTACAATGTGTTAAAAAATTACAAATAAGTTGCTAACAAAACTTAAAAAATTAAATATAACGGTTATAATCTCATAATTTCATTTAATAAATTTTGCAACATTTACTTAAATTTCTCTACCTCAACTTATTGAAATCGTTCCACAACATTATTTACTAGCCAAAACTCATCTGAAAACATTCAATAAATTTATATAGCTTTAGAAGAAGAATACTTTTTGCGCATTTAAGGTAGAGTATGTTTTAATAAAATTGCGAAAAAAAAACATTCTAAGCATCCTTCACTATCTCGTCGTTATTCTCCAGTTCTTTACGGCGCGTATGACGCATGCGCAAGTTGGTGCAAAGGCGCACCGAGCAGAAATATGCTATTTCCACAATACTCAATATAGACACGCCCATAAAGAGGCCCAGCAAACCGCCGCAGTTGGCAAGAAAGTCAGTGGTGCCATACAATTCAGAGCGTCTCGAGGTAAGAAATTGTGCTTCCTTAAAGAATATTGAGACACGCGACATTTTATTGCTGAAAAGAGACACAAAAAGAGCAAGTATTGATATATATATTTTTTTTTAACATAGGGAAACAATTATTCTATAAATCTGCGAAATTTCGACCGCTAAATATCTGTAGACTAATCTACTTATTGTGCCTAAAAGTATGCAGCATGAAAGCCAAAGTGCAATAGAAAATTTAGAAATAATTTTTGTATCAAAATTTACCGATTTCCCATATACCTCTTTCGGTGCATTACATATATATCCACAAGCAATTCTATTTGTACTTTAACCGCATTTTTCAGTTCATATTGCATACTTTTCGGATTCCATGCGTGCCATACTCACTTTGCATTGAAACGTGTTGATTCTTCCTCCTTAAATGTATTCGCCACTAGCTTATAGTCGAAATCGGATTGTGAAATCTCCGCCTCGTAGGCTATGGAAGTACAAGAGGGCAAGCAATCGCATTCGGTGCGTCCACGCACATTTTCTTCAGCCGTTTCCGCACCCTGATTGAATTCTTTCAGCAGCAACTCATCCTCAGCTTCATTGATGCATTTCACGTTGATCGCGCCACAAACTGGCGTATCAGGGGTGTCTTTTAGCGGCAAATAAACAAAAAAAAAACAAAAAATATTTTGAAAAAGGAGGCTAAAATTATAGGCTTCTCACTTACGGGGCATCGAAAATTTAACACAGCCACATTTGCTTAACGTAAAATTCGACAGACATTCAAGTTCGCAATTGCTTTGCGTATAGATTTGAAAGTAGCGCAGATGGCGCTCCTTTTGGAAGTAGCATTGGCGTCTGTGGAAATTCAAAAACGAAAAAAACAAAAACAAAATGCGATTTCATAAAAAATTAAACTTTTGTTTGTTTATTTACCTGTGCGGTTCGTAGTAACGCAAACCCTCCGAAGTGGTGATAATTTTAGGTTTAATCGATATGAGCACCTCCTGATCGAATGGTATGCGAAAGTATTGTTTGGAGATTTGCGCTACCTCACCGGGTGTATGCAAAATAATCTGAAAGGTAAATAAGCACTACATAGAATAGGAACAGTTATTTTCAATATGCCGCTCGCACCGCACCTTAAAACCCTGCACTGGACCGCGACACAAATTATCGAAATCCTGTTCGAAACCATTCAAAACCATATAAAGGCCAGCGCGTGCGCCAGGACCAAGCACCCGTTCAGGATATGTTTCGGGATCAGCGCTGGCGCTATAGCCGTCCTCTACATTCCAATCGGTAGCAGTGCGGTTGTCAGTTTGGAAAAGCATTTCGCTTATTATGCTTTGGAAAAGAAATGTAAATGCCGTAACTCATTAAAAATTAGGCTTTTAGTTCATCGCAGTCTTTCGAAAAAACAAAAGACAATCTTCAATTCTGGCAACTATCTTAAAATCTCTTTACTGTCTTTTGAAAGACTGATTGAAAGATCTGATAACGAGGAGGTCGTTTAGCAATAATTTTTTAATTTTTTGTAAATAATAAAAGTAATGAATAGAAGAAAATTAAATTGAAAAAGAAAAGAAAATAAAAATATTTTTAAAAATTTTATGAAAGAAAAAATCATAAAAGAGTATAGTACTAATATAAAAGAAAATACAATTAAGAAAATTAATAAACTAAAAAATTATTCGAAGTGAGATCATAAAAATTAAATGAAAACATATAAATATATTTTTTTCTTTTTTAAACTATAAAATTTGAAAATTAAACGTAAATGATATTTTAATGAATAACAGCAAAAAAATACGTTTCTAAAAATCGTATGAAATTAGAAAAACATGTACTTTTTAATCCAATAAAATATTAAACTAATAACAAATTCAATAAAATAAGTTTCTAAAAATCAAATAAATTTTAAAGAATATATATCGTCAACCTAATTCACAAAGGCGCTCATCAACACTTTTTTCGAAATTGCGTTTTTCACAGATTTTGGTAGGATGTGTTAAAATACGACTTCAGTAAAAATTTTACACGGAGTTACATGCCACTTTTTAAAAAGCCCTACCTGCTTATGATACTATTTTTATGATGTTTTCTGCTTCTCCTGTAAAATAAAAAATTTTTTGGTTAGAGCCCTAGTGAATTAAGGTAACAATATATCGAGCCCTACCGCCAAAATAACGTAAGCGACATTTTTTCAAAATTTTCTTTTTGATTCAGAAATGTATCTAGATGCTCTAAGAATATTTCTGCATCTAAAAGAAAATTTTGAAAAAAATGTCGCTTACGTTATTTTGGCGGTTAGGGCTCGATATATATATATATTTTTTTAGCTAATGAAAGCTAATTATAAAAGAAAATTAAATAAAAAATTATATTAAAACGATAAAGCGAGCTAACTGACATACAAGTATTTTCTCTCAAAATAGCTTTTCGCCACAAACAAGTAAGCTTCTTTTCTAAGACCTTTGTACTAGAATTACTAGAACTACTAGTTGCCATCTGTCTGATGGCAGACTTTTTACGATCTTATCCAGAATTGTCCTGTTAATCAATCTCAAAATCTCACCCCTCCGGTCGATAGATCTCCTTGGCACTAAGCGAATTAAAGCTATAACATACACCCTCTTCGGTTATAAATTTCTGAAACATTTGTTGGCAATTCTCCGGTAAATTACGCCATTTGCAATGCAAATAGCTTTCATTGAACTGTGGCGTTACTGCAGCCAACGCATCGACCACCTTAGCAGCTGATGTTGCTTTATGTCCAAATTTCAAATCAGCAAACAAATGTACGTCACACACCTGCGCCATAGCTTCCATGCGCACGCGTCTGCGAAGATTCATTTATTTACATTTACTTTTAGTTACTCCAAAGCAATATAAAGTAAAGTTAAGTGTCTCACTCTTCATCTGTCAACTCCTCGTCTGTGACGTTGTTCAATTTATCGGTGATTCTCCAATAGATTTCAGTAAAATTGAAAACTCTCTGCCTGCCCTTGGTTTCGGTACAAACTGTCACAGTCGGAAATGGTATCTGCCATACTGGTGTGGATTTTTCAGCAAAAGAAACAATGACTGGATTGTTGTTCCATTTATCCCAGATATTCATTATAAGCGTGGCGCAAGTGTAAATGGAGAAGATCAGCACGAATACCCAAAAAAGTCTGGAAATTGTTTCCATATAATTAGTAAAATTTAGAATTAAATCAATTGGTGATTTATTGTTTAAAAAAAAAAAAATAGTGTTTTATATTTAGACTGAGATTTCGTTGATCACGCGCAGTTCCTATAAGCTCTGAAGTGACATCTACAATATACCTACATATGTGTTATCCACAAATCTTTCAAAGTCTAGCCTACCACTTTTAAAAATTCTCTAATTCCTGTAGTCCTCAATTACATATCGTCGGCTGAATAAAATATTGTCGTACGTTACCTTCGGCAGGTTTTGGGAAATCGCGATTGCAGTTTGGAATGCAGTTTCTCAAAAACGCGAGCACAAATATTTTCCAAAGTCTCTGCGAATGTTACGAGTTCACGACATTCTTAAATAATTTGTACTAAATTAACGAAAGATTTTACTCAATAACTCGCAAACTAAAGAACATATCAAAAACTGGATAACACCATTTGAAAGATCTTGTTTAGTTTAGTATAACTGCATTATTAAATAAATTTATACTGAATTACCAATAATATCTAACTAAAGGAGATATTAAAAAACTGATAACACCAATCGAAAGAGCTTATTTTAAAATATATAACTACATCTATAACTAAAAGTTTTTTATTTAACAATGCCACTACTAAAAGTATAATTTCTTAACTTTGTGCAAAACTCAGGAAATAAATTGTCATGCAAATTTACTACTTTTTAGTCTGATTTTTTTTTTACGCAGTAGGGTTGCCAGATTTTTTATGCACAAAATCAGTACGGTAGACTTTTTTTGCTAAAAAAATCGGTACTTTTCAGTACACTTTTTTATAAAGCAAAATTATGAATGTAAGTAACAGATAACGATTTAAAACACCAGAGTATTTGTTTTTGACAATATTTTGTTATAAATAAAATATAGTTCATAAATAAAAGCTTATAAAAATAAAAGTGTTATTCATTTTGACATGAGTGTACACATCATTGTGCACAGAAGCCAATAAATTATTTTATATTTGTGCCACTTTTGAATAGCAATAAGGAGATCATTTCCATCTTCTGTACATTTTATTTAAAAATTATTTTGAATTTGAAGTTCACTTTAAAAAATTTTAATTAAGAGCCGGTTTCTCTCTCTGCGTAAGGAAGCAAACTTTATACTTAAGATCCTCACAGTTGTTTCGTTTGGGTATGGTATTGAAAAACAATGCATATTTTTTCAAACGGCGGAAAAGTACCTGTATCTAAGGACTTCATCTATATTTCCTCATGGCTTAAATTAAGAATTCGCTAAAAAGAGAAACTAACTCTATGTCTTGTATGCAAAGCTCTTTTACAATGCAGTAATTTTTAGAAAAAAGAATTGTAAGCTATAGGCAAAAGCCAATCGAATATTAAAATTTGCTGTTGTTAAACTGGATAATATTTTTAAGATAACTAACCAGACCCGACAAAAAAGTCATCCTTCTTTTTAAATAATTTAAGCTCCATCATAATATCGCAACTGACGATATGCCTATAAAACGATTGATCTCTTTATAGTATTATTTTCTTGACAATATCAAATATTATTTGAAACATGTCAACTATAATTAAATTATTTTCTTCTTACTTTTTACAGTGCAGTTTAAGCAAGTTCCAACGTTATGTAAAAACCTTAAGTAAATCCTAAGGTATTTTGTTTGAATTGAAAATTCAGTACAAATCAGCGCAAATTTTGAAAAATCAGGACATTAGCGTACTAACTGAAAAAATGAAAAAAATCAGTACAAGAGTTCAAATATCAGTACTGTACTGATAAAATCAGTACGTCTGGCAACCGTATTACGGAGTTTTGTAACAAATTAAATTTTAGAACAATAAAGTGCAAGTTTGAAGTTGCTAGGGCTTACCGTTGACCTTTATATTACATTTACATTGAGCCCAAATGCGTCATTTGGGCGAGAAACCTCAAATGCGAGGCCAAATCACGCATTTCTCCATACAAATTCACATTTCCAGAATGACGCATTTCGACGCATTTACACAAAATCACGAAACAAATGCGTTCCAATTGCCGCACTATTTTATTGAACGCACTCAGAAACAAAAGTTCCACAAAAGCTTTGGTTTGTCTTTGACATTTGGAATTTTTCAAACACAAAACAAACACAACGAAATAAATAAATCTTTGAAATTTGTGTGTAAAAATTGTTAATTTATACAAGAGCTTTACACATTTTAAGTTAAATCAAAGAATAATTGCCCTGTTGTGTCCACAAAGTGTTAACAATATAATAAATGTAGTGTTTGTTTACATACATTTTGTTTTTGTCTTCCCTTTTCATTTGATGAGAAGTCAAAGCAAATGCGGATCAAGCAGTGTAAACACCTTCAAATGACTGATTTCAAATCACGCATTTTGGTCCAATGTAAATGTAATATTAGCAACTTCAAACTTGCATTTCTAATATTAAAATTTAATTTTTTACTTAAGAAAAATCTGAAAGATTTTTTTTCATTATTTCTGTTGCTTGAAAAATACTTTGTATTTCCAGTACTTTTTTTTGAAGAAATAAATATGTTTACGACCATTTTTTCTTGAGAGCTGTAAACTTATTTAAGAGCTCTTGATAGAAGAAAATTTTCCTTTGAAGTTGAATTTTACGTTTTTTTTTAGAACTGTCTACCATGTTTAAATTGGAATGTTTTTACTTTCCCCTAAGAAGATCTTCATTTTCGACAGCCCCAGTAAAATTTTCTGTTAAATTTTTTTTTTCCGGAAAAATCTAACCTTTTAAATTTGTTTGGAAAATCATCTTCAACCTCACATAACATTTGTTAGCTAACTACGTCCTTAAAACGGGTTTGACGATTAGTGATTACTGCAGGAGGTGCGAAATAGAAAGAAAAGATGTAAGATTGGCCAGCGTCGGCAAATTTACATTTAAACTGTTTGGGAAGGCGTTCCTCGCCAACGTAGAACTAACAAAAAATAAATAAATGCGTCCTACGAAATTAAAACTCATTGATTATTGACATAGTGCCCAACTACTAATCATGAATGGTCGCTTTATCTCGTAACACTATGAACGAAAATATCTGTGTAGGTGAGGTTTTTACTCGCCAGCCAATTTAGCATCACATAGCTTTTTCTTAATTTACACTAATCCAATAAAAATATACAATCGTCGTTAAACAAAAACAGTAAATATGTATATTTATAAGGGATAAATGTTTTTGGACAAGATATCAATATTTTTTATGGCACTTGTCTAAATCAAAATCGACTGCAACTGATCACCACAGTTGTCTCTTTAAACACTATAATTCAGGTGTTTTTTATATCAAAGAAAAAACAATTAAGTAAGCGGCAGTCCAGAAGTAGGACTCACTTAGAAACAGGGTCCTTTGTGATGCCGCATGAGGGTTTTTAATTATACCCACCCCTTGTAAACCACTTGGTGCTTAGCAAGAATGTGCAAAGACTTCTGACGTTCACCTCTTTCAGGTCATCGAGAGCTTTTGCTCTCCATTTTGACAGAGCGGGGCAATGACGGAGAAGATGTGGGTTTCCTGCTTCTGCAGTAGTCGTTCCAGGGTGCGTCTAGTCTAGCTGCGTGTAATCCAATCAGACAATGTCCATTGGGAACTCCAGCCACTATGCGAATGTCCTGCCTCCTTAGATTAAGGACAGTCTTGGTGCGCTGGGTGTCCATGGCGGGCCAGAGTTTAACAATATGACAGGTCTGCTCTATGTGTTTTTCATTCAGTAGATATTCGCATGTCTGAAGAGGGATTCCGGGAGTATCCCTTATGTCTGTATCAGGCAATGTCGTTCCATGACACGCGAGTTCGTCAGCCTTGCAGTTTTCCTGAATGTCGCAGTGGCCAGGTACCCAGACAACGTGTGTGCTGAATGTCTCAGCCATCTCGTTGAGAGATCGGCGGCATTGAGCAACTGTTTTTGAAGTCAGCGACATATTTCCCAGAGATTTTACCGCCGCCTGGCTGTCAGTGAAGATGTGTGTAGATGTCATGACTAGGAATCATATCACACTGGTTCAGTGACGCGGCCTTTGAGATAACCATCAGTTCCGCCTGAAAAACACTGCAGTAATTAGGGAGGCAGAAGCTGAATGATATGCCTAACTTTTCCGAATAGACCCCACCACCTACCACCTTTTGTCGAGCTTCGATCCGTCCGTGTGTCTACACGGATGGATCCGCTCTTCCTGACTGCATCCATTGACCATTCTTCCCTTGAGGGACTTGAAACAGCAACTCCGGCGTACAAAGCCGGTGTTCTACCCACTGAGTTAAGTTCGCCATGTAAACTGTTGTTGCTTTTTCCACTGTTTCATTTTGTTTACCCAACTACAATCAAGAGCAACGGTAATGTGTTTAACTTTAGGTTATACTCGTCCTTAAGTTACTTTGGTCTAAAAATAACTCCTACCATCTATAAATTATTGTTTTTCCACAACATTTTGCACTAAAAAATGGCGGTAAGCTCAATAAAACTGTTGAATTTTATTACTTTGTGAAAATAACACCGTGCGACAGTCAATTTTACACACGAAAAAATCAATATATTCCCAAAACTGGGGGCCAAATATAGTAAAACTGCGTTTTTAGTTTTTCTCTCTGACGTCAGGATTTTTTTTAAAGGACTTTGAAATTTTTAGAATAAGTTTGAATAAAAAAATTATTCAAAAGATTCGGTGCATTGTAGAATAACAATATGGGTATCAATTAAAAGGAAAAATTCAGTAGAATAGAACAAAAAATAATTTTTGGTTGCACCAGGACGAATAAGTATCGAAAATGTCCTTTTAAAACTTTATCCTTGAATGTCCCTGGAAATTTCCATTATTTATTTTTGAAAAAAATATATGTCAAGGACTAATATGTTAACTACCACATCCTCGAATTTCATCCTTCAAACTTTATTAGTTTTAGATAAAAAAATTTTACACTTCTCTTAATAAGATATTGATAGTTAGAATATACATAAATAAAGATATTGGAATCTTTATTATAGAACCATGTATGCGCTCTAAAAGATCAAACTGACTATATGATATACCTGCTTAAATACTTTAATTGATTTGTATACAAGGGCGTAGCCAGCGTTTCATCTAGGGGGGCAGGAGTTTATATAGAGGGAAAAATGTTTTTAATTATATTTGTTTTTTGTGTATATACAACGATTTTTTTGGGATTAAGAAAGTATAAGTTTTCCGGTAGCCTTTACGGCGATACCAATTTTTTTAAAATCGGTTAGTAATTTTTTTGTTTAAAATAGTTTTCTTTATAAAAAAAGGTATTTATTGCTTTCAAGTGTTTTTTCTCAAATTTTTATACATGAAGCATACAAATATGTACACCAGGAGAAAGGCGGTTTTTAATTGTTTTGTTTTTCTTTATAAAAAAAGGTATTTTTTCCTGTTAAGTGTTTTTTCTCAAATTTTTACATACGAAGTATACAAATATGCATATAGAAAAGGGGTTTAATCACGTTTACAACGATACCAATGTTTTAAAAATCAGTTATAGCACCTGTAATATAGGTTTGCAAAAAAAAAGTTATAAACCATTTAAATAAGAGCAAAAGGCGGTCTACGACTGTATTTTTAGTTTTTTTTAGTTATTTACATATAATAATAAAAAATATTTTTTTTTCAAAGACCCTATTTCGAAATTCGAAGGCCCATATCTCGATTTCGGAGGCTAACTTCGGAAAACGGAGAAATTACTTTTTTACCTATGATTTAATCTCTTAAAAAAATAGCTTTGATCCAGTACGCAGCGGACTGCTGTACAGTGTAATTATTCTAGTATCTTCATTTACGTATGTTAACTATCAATATCTTATAAAGAGAAGTGAAAAACTTTTGTATCTAAACCTAATCAAGTTAGAAAGACGAAATTCGACGATGTGGCAGTTTACATATGTATTAGTTCTTGACATATATTTTTTTCAAAAATAAATATTGGAAATTTCCAAGGATATTCAAGGGTAAATTTTTAAAAGGACATTGTCAACATTTTTTCGTCCTGGTGAAACAAAAAATTTAATTCTTGTTTTAATTCTACAGAATTTTTCCTTTTAACTGATACCCATCTTGTTACTCTACAGTGCACCAAATCTTTTAAATAATTTTTTTATTCAATCATATCCTGGAAATTTCAAAGTCCTTTAAAAAAAATCATGACGTCAGGAAAAACTAAGAACGCAGTTTTACTATATTTGGCCCCCAGTTTTGGCAATATATTGATTTTTTCGTGTGTTTTAAAAATTTTTGTTTTTTGTCGCACGGAGTAATAGGTACTTATGTATCTGTTTGCAAAAATTTTAACTTTTTAACTTTTAAGGCAACCGGTAACTTTAAAAAGTCTTAAACCAAAATTCAAAAGTTCAAAAAGTTACCTAAAAGTACCAAAAAGTTCAAAAAAAAAACTAGAAAAATATAGAAACGGGAAATTCGATACGAATTTCAAAACTTCCCTAAACATTCATAAAAGGTCGGGAAAAGTACTGAATTGTCCCGGAAAAATCCCGAAAAATGTTATTTTTTTGGTTTTGTAGTGCCACATATCAAGGTTCTTTCTTAATAATACGCCAACATTTATTCAACTTCACCTTTCCCAACGAGGTCGCTTTATTTCACCCAAATATCGGAAACCGTGAATGGTACTATAATCACAATATTCTTTCAAAATGCCGCAGGTAGCCTGGCATGTATTGCCATATTGAATCTGTTGCTTTGTGTCGACATCCTCTGCATCACTGTCATCGGCAATATTTTCCTTTGAAGAAGCTGCGTTTTTAGCCATGAGAGCAGCGCGCTTCCTGGCAGCAGCAGCATGCAGAAAAGGAAATGAATTTTTATAAAAAAAAAATAAAAATTTAATTTTTATTTAGTATTCTCTTATATTTGTAAGCACTCCATCCTTTAACACAAACACATTTCAAATCACTTTTGAATTATTTTCACATATTTTTTAAACACTTTTTTCTAATCCACAATTACCACTGTATAGCTGCTGGTATGCTACTCAAAGATGCTTCTTTTTGCATTTGCATTTCCTTCTTCTCTTCCGGCGTTTCCATATCGGTTAGCGATTTTCTTTGCCACGATTCTGGTGCGTTTTGCCGATTTTTACCGCGTTTTGACCGTTAACGTTCAGCTCCTAAAGACAGTTTGTGTACTCGCACAGCGAATTACAAGGGCTTTTATACCGCCAGCTGGCGTTTTAGGTGTGTTCCAGCCAATGGTGCGCCGTCGCGTTCAACTAGGCAACGGGGAATGCGTTTCCAGCCTGCACTGGGATGCAAATTAGTTGTGGGATTCCTCGTAGCTGCTATGCTATCATTGCCAAAATTCCCAATTGAGAATTTACCCACGCAGAAATAGTTATTCATGCCATTCCGGCATTCACATTGCTTATACGCGTGTCTAAGGTCATAACTAAGGTCGCTTACCAGAAACTAAATAATGTTAACTTTCGCTATCGGTTTAGCAGCCCTTTTACGTGACAAATATGTGGTTGTAAAACATTTATTCATCATACGCCATGTATGTATGTATGTATAACTATCGCATGCAAATTTTTATAGATACACTTGAATGTGTGTATGTGTACATATGTGTTTGTATGTTTCAGCGATTATAAAACATTTTTCACACAACAATGCATGTCATTTATTGCTTTCTGTTTGTATTTGCTGAAAATTTCTTCACTAAACTTGCTTCTTTCCATCCGCTATTACACTATTACGGCTAATTAATGTTCATGTCAACGTACAATGCGAATCCCAATTGGGTTCAGTGCTGATGCGCATTTGCTATGCTTGCCTGTATTAGATTAGTTTGAATTAAGGAAACAAATATATTCGTATAGTAACTGAGTATAATGGTGTGGCTGCGTGGGCTGGCTTAATTGCCTAATAAAACACTGTGCTACAAACCGTTTTTTTTTTTTGTGGGAAAACCTGGCATTTTTCAAAAGAAAAAGTGATGGCAATACATAAGTCATCTATAAAGCAATTCTTTATAAATTAAAAATTTTCATTCAAAATTACGAAGACAAAAAACCTCTTCATAATTTAAGTTTCAACGCTTTCCTTTCACTTTAATTTTGATAAAATTCCTGCCTAAATATGTTAGCACATGGCGTATGCATCGGCGTAGCCATTTGTGGGTGGGCTCGACCCTATTAAGCTGGCATTTCAGGTTACTATTTTACATATATATAAGGAAAACTTGAAAGTTAGGGGGGGGCTCGAGCACCCCCTTGCCCCTACCTGGCTACGCCCATGGGTGTATGAGCAACATTTTAATATTAACAGCAAAAAATAAATATGAATTTGAAGAAAAAAAAATGAATACTGCCTGATGTTCAGGCTTGAGGGTAAAGATTAAAAATAAATTAAAGTGTAATGCCGAATTTCCACCAAGCGTTGAAATGGCAAAAAATTGGAGGCATTTGAAAAATGCCAAGTGGAAATGAATTTAATGACTACTGAATATTCGTATTATTACGTTAAAAAAATAGTAATTAATTTCTTTTCCACTTGGCATTTTTTAAACGCCTTCAATTTTTTATCATTTTAATACCTGGTGGAAATTCGGCATAAGAATATGTACTTAGTAAGTTTTCATATACAAATGTCAAAGGTAAGGCCAAATGTATGTATCAGCTTGCTATTCAGCGCGAACCTGTGCTATTCCGTTCTGCCTTGTCGCCTATCAGTTCTATGGTGATGAGAATAGTAGTGTAGCTAACACTGCCTCTTCTGGGGTACCCTTGCGCAATGTTTGCATGGTTTATTTTGAATCCTATTGCATTGAGATCCAGCCTAGCATACTATTGTACTTATACAGACAGTTCTTCATAGTACTAAAAAACAATAGGAGACTATATTTGTGGCAAACTTTAAATTTTGTTTCTTTTTCAACAACATTCAAAACAATTGCTGACCGACCACATAAATGCAGTTTGAACACAGACAGTAAAAACGTAACAAGATTACCTTCGTCGGTGTATACAACATTGAAGTACTCAACAATGTAGTGATCACACACACATCCGCGGACATTTAAGAATGCCACCAAAAATAGCAACACTTCATGAGGTACAAGCTAAACTTGCACCAAACCAATTTCATATGACAATTTGAACTTGTTGTACTTCTCTTGTAGTAAGGTTGCTGTTGTCACTTTTGCATGAGCAAAGGTAATTTGCTAGGGTGATCGGTATTTTATATGATTCTAACATTACTTACGTATTTCCCAAAATTCCTTAGATGTGGCACCTAGAAGAGACACTTTTATGGATGGCAATAAAATAATGCCTTTATATTGAGACTAGGTTCTTAACCTTTGACCATGAATTTCAGTGATCCGCGTTGCAAATTTTCCTATTGACTATGGCCACACATTATTTAAAATACTCTTTTTTTACAATTACATTTTCGCTGCTTATATCTAAATTGCAATTTTTGTAAAGTCACAAAAAATCGATTTCAAAATTTTTAGCTGTCCACCTTAGTAGGCTGTTGTTGTTTTCCCAACATTTTTGCACATTTGCTTGTTTAACGCTTTTTCCGCTTGTTATGGAAATTTTCAACACAATTGCACGAGTAACAGAAATTGCTGTGGCTGCATTTTAAATCAACTGGTGCCGCAAGTGCTTAGGCTAAAGCCGGTAGAATGACAGGACTAAGCAGTGGACATAGCTCTGACCTACATGAATACATGGTCATACACATTTGTAACTATGTATATGTGCATACATATGTGCACATAAATGTGCACTTACTGCGGCATCTAAAGCTTATAAACATTAGGGTTGTGCATAACAAATATGTACATACACTCACACAAAACAATGCAATGTTGGCAATAAAAAGTGAATTGGTTGCAATGAATTGCCAGAGAATTAGCACTGCGACACTACTCTGCACCTGTCTGCGAACGCAATAGGAGTATGTATGAATGCATTCTTGTTTGTTTGTTTGAGTGGAATTGTATGCGTTGATGAAGAAACATTTTATGACACCATTTAAGGTAGTTTGCTGCATTTTAAATGACTATTTGCACACGAAATACTTTCGCTGAATGGGGATGAAGGTTTTTAGTAAAGGAGACTGAACGCATGATTGCTCAACAAAAAAAAAAAATAAGCTAGTTAGACGGTGATATAACCTGCTTTAATAGTATTCCCACCATCTTAGAGAATTGGTTGCCAATGTTTCAATTATATCCTAATAAAATTAATTTAACAAAGATCTAATAAATAATATTATAATGGGATTACTCTTCAGCTTTAAAGAGTTTGCGTTCCAATTAATTTGCAACTTCAAATATATGCAAACTAAATTTGCAATACAAAATATTTTAAAAATATTTTTTGCACACGCTCTATTCCACAACGAAGCAAGTTTTGATTATGCTAGGTCGATCATGCTTACCAGCATCACCGCCCTACTTTCGCCGCAAGTTTATTTACATATGTACATATGTACCTATCTCAATACACCATATCCAAATCCTATAGTATCTCCATTAGAATGGCATAAATTCAAGCCCTTCAGCTTACTACCTAACTATCTGGAAAGCTCTTTCTGTCTTTCGAAAGGCTAATTGAAAGAAGTAAAAACAATAAAAAATAATTCACACAAGTCTCCATAAGTTAAATGAAGTTATAAAAGAAAATTTGTCTTTTTAAAGCGATAAAATCTAAAAATGTAAATAAAATAAAATTAAAAATTAAAAAAAAACATGAAATTAAACAAAAATTAAATAATTTCCTAAAAATTAAATTTAAATAAAAAAAAAATATTTTTCATTTTAAAATAATAAAATCAAAAAATTAATACTTAATTAAAAACGAAAAATAATAAAATATACATATATTACTATAAATAAAAAATATTCCCTTAAGTTTCCAAAATTTAAAAAGATTTTTTTTTTTTAAATCATAAATTGTAAAACCTAAACACAATCAATTTAAAAGAGGAAAAAACATAACTTAAAAAAATGAAATAAGTTCGTAAAAATTGCGCTAAAAATATTCTTCTGTTTCAAACAATAAAAACAAAAAATTCCTAAAACCTAGTTAAAAAAATAAAACTTATAAATCAGTAAAATCTAAAAATTAAAGGAACGTGAAATTAGAAAATAAAATAAAAATACATAAAATAAGTTTCTAAAAATTAAATTACATTACAGAAATAGATATTTTTTCTTTTAAAACAATAAAATCTAAACTTAAAAAAAAAATTATTAAAAAAGAAAGTAAATTACGGTGCGCGAGGAATCGGATCTGTGATCTCCAGAATTTCACGCTAGTACTTTACTAACTCGGGCATTACGACTGTTTGAGCTTTTTACCATGGAAGCTGGCGTGGGAGCTTTTTATGAGACTTTCGTTCCAAAAAAAAAAAACTATTTTGCCTTCTATCTTTCAATTATCTTACAAAAGACTTGCAACTAACTATCTTATCCACAATTGCCGTGTAAGTCTCAGAGCGCTTTTAGCTTTTCACGTATTTTTTAAATTTAGAAAATTGGGTAATAATATCACTGTGCAACACTCAAAAGGTGATGAGTTTGTGACCAAAATAAAAATAAATATCAAAGGATTTGTGAAAGTATGTTACCTTTTTAATATCGACTTGAAGTTGTACCTATATATGTAGATCTAAAGTCCCAAACTGGAATTTACTGTTCAAAACAGTCTGCAGCCTATATTTTGCCACCGCATGGATTAAATTTCTATTTTAGATGAAAGCTATTAAAATTTAGAAGAGACCTGAATGAGAATGAAATAAAATGATAGCTGTTTTCTATCCAATACAATTTCAATTGAATAAGCGAGCTCGCAACCGAATGCCGTAATCTCAAAAAAAAAAAAGAAAACAATTCGACACGAATTTGATTCGACCACGGATGCCGTGATTCGGACACTGTTGATAAAAAGAAATTTCTTTTACGACATTTATGATTGATAAGAAAATGTTACCAAAAACGAGTCAAAAATATTTGTCGCCAAAGTTCTCGAAGTTCCTAGCTACTTACCTGACATTCGAGAAGATACGATTTCCTTTTCCGATTATTTTTTCAACTCTTTAATACCTACATTCCGCCAATAACAAAAACTACAACATATTTTTTTGATTAGATATATCCTTTATTGTTTTTAATTTTCATACATTTTTCATATTTGAGTACTTTGGAGAACTTTGAAATATATTTCTGAAACTTGTTCTTTTACATATTGACGATTTGTTAAAATTTAAGCATTTTTAGTAGACATTTGCTTATTTTAATTACAATAAACACAAACTTAGTAAATATATTATATGTGCATTTACATGTATGAATTTAAATCAATGCAACTTAGAATTCGAAAACACCCAAAAAATCAAACTAAAATTTCTGTATAATTTATAATGTTTTTTTTTTCAATAACATTCTGTAGTAAAATATAAAGTTCTTATTTTTGGGTGCACATTTTCTTTATTATTTTATGGGAAAATTAAGATAAATGAGGAGAGAAATTTAGGAGTTTACATAACTATTTGACTAGATGTTTTTTTATTTTTTTTTTCTGAAATTCTGAAATATAAAGTAAGTTAATGCAAACCAGCAATCGAAGTTAATAAAAAATCTTAAACTAAGTGCTCAAGTTATTTTTGTTATAAGCTATGTATGTAGTATTTAAAAAAAAAAAAGTTAGTTAAATTTGAAACAAAACACGAACAAATTATTACGAAATTTGCATGTTTTTTATACATATATTTCATGTATATAATATAGAGTGTCAAATAATGCCAAATATTTACATATGTAAGTATTTGTATAAGCATGTTCTTTTTAAGATTTTTATTTATATTATTTACTATCTACGCAGCTTCATAATACTAATAAAACTTTGGTTCGCTGTAATGTTTGCGAGTACTACGTATTTTTATATATTCTTTTAATATCCTGGCATGCGTATGTACATACATATACATATGTGTATATAATCATATACATGCATATGAATACACATAATTTTATATACGCGCTTATATTATTAGATGTTTGTTTATAATTGAAATGGGTTTAACATTTCTGTTAACATTTTTATTTTGTATAAAATAAACTATAATCCTAGCAGCTAGCTAATCCCTAATTTATGTACAAAGCTCATTTTACCAGTTACTTTGATTATATTTTGCATGGCTTTATCTTTTTTTATTAAGTTTAACTTAACTGTTACTTCAAAGTACTCAAAATCGTTTAAAAGATTTCTTAAATTACTTTACATTGTGAACGCATAGTATGTACAGTGGCGAAAACCTAAAGAGGGACGCACAACTTTAATACGTTTTGGTTATTTTTTATTTGTTTATTTAAAGTTTTTTTTTTTTCTAATAAAAACCATGTAAGTGTTAAATTCAAACTTTGTAAAAAACATAAAAAATTCGACAAATTTTCATCAAAATCTTGAGCTTTTTAATTAAATTTATTAGAAAAACTTTTCGTATTCAGTTTTGTAGCCCATTAGGTTGTATCATGACAAAGTGCAAGTTTGAATTACCTCGAACTCGCGTTGATTTTTGGGCTGTTTTTTATTGCTCATTTTCTCCATATAAAAAAATTTTCGAACTTATGTACTTTATATTGAAAAAAATGCGCAACATCGTAAAAAATCAAAATAACACTGATTTGTTGTCACTAAAAACAAGCGCTTTACTAACCCAAAATATAATTGGCTTTAAAATTTGAGGACATTTTTTTTAATTTTTCGAATTCTTAAGCGACTTCAAAAAAAGAACTAGGTTATCAATTCATTAGAATACAAATTTTTTTTGTTATGTACATATGTTACCGCATAACTTAAGAACATGTTAACCGATTTCTTATTTAATGCGTTTTTTACAGGAATGGCAATACCTCAGAGGTGGTCCCTTATTAATTTCGTTTAGATCCGATCATTCGATCATGAAGAAATTAACGGTACTCTTAAATTTTCATAAAGAGGTTAGAAGTCGGTTTTATTTTATTTTTTTTCTTAAAAATTACTTGACCTAATTTTTTTAAAAAGTTTGGAATTCCGACTTACATGGTTTTTGTTAGCTAATGAGCTAATGAGAAAAAAATAAGCGTTAAATAAGCGAAAGAAAAATAGCCAAAACTTATTAAAATGTCGCGGCCCTATCTATTTTCCCGCCAACGTACATTCAGTCAGCTGAAATGCAAAAGGCCGTAACTAACAAAATTTTTTTGTGAGACTTGCAGTTCGATAAAATGCATTATAGTCAAACAAAAAGTGAGTTTTGCATTATTTTGCATTTCAGGTGACCAAACCTAACGGCATTTGTGTACAGATTCGCTTTGTATTTCTTTTTTTTTCCAATTTGTTTGTTGTTAATTTCTTATACATATAATTACGCAGAAATATTTTTACTTCATTATTTTTTAATAATTTTATTAAATTTTTCATATTTCTAAAGCTAATTTCAAGTTTACTTGTATATAAAGTTTTTAACTAATTTAAAATGATATGTTTGTGTATATCCTGCATATTGTATGCAACTATCTACTAGCTTAATGTAAACGTTTCGTATTTTTGTCCTACAGACATAAAATTTATAAGTTTTTATTCTTATTCTTAATTTTATTTTTATATATTTTTTGTTTCAGTTTGCATTTGATGTTTACTTTAGATACTGTTTAAAATATAAATTTAAATCTGTTGCTTGAAATACTATACATATACATATGTAGATAATACGATTATACTGATTGTTTCTTATTCTTCGAATTAATCATACATATATGACGGAATAAAACTCCAAATTAGTTAAAGGATGTCTCAAATTTGCTTTATACATATTTCAATAAAAAAAAAAACGTTCAGAAAATACTACGAATTTTTAGTCAAGTGATTTTAGGAGGCCTGCCTAGCCGACCTAATCATACAAACATACAAAAAGCCAAATAAGAAACTAAGTGGATATTTTACACAGAAGGAACTGAGACATCCTGTAACATGTTTAATCAAATTATTAGGAATTTGACCATTTTGCGATCCAACTTAAAATATGAAACTATGTAAACATTATATCGTGAGATTTGAATAATTTTAGAATTGCCTCACAAATAACATAAGGACAGTTAAAAGTATGAAGGATATTCAAAACTCCGAAAATCTACAAAATTAAATTTAGCAACTTTACATAAAATCGTAATATTTTAACACTCCGCGTAAATATGTAAAATGAATGACCGACAGACGCAATAACACATATGTATGTATGTCCAGCCATTGTACATATTTGGGACTTACTGTCATCTGCAAATAATTTATGCTTACGAAAAATAAGGAAAAATATCCAAAAGCCACAGCGCGCGTGTGTGGCCAACAGCTAAATTGGACAATAAATAATAGTAATGCATTTAATTAATTTATTTTTATATTTGTATTTTTTTTTTTCAAAAGCAAAAAAAAGATTTTCAACTACAGCTTGCAAATGCTTAAACCAATTTTGGTTTTTACTTAAATTTGTGCACACATTTGTGCTGATTTTGTCAACAAAAAAAAAAAAACAAGTGAAACCGAAGCCGAATACGAAAAACTCAGAATTAAGTTTACTTTTAATGTTTCATTTAATAACAAATTTGCATTTGTATATATATAATACGCCTCTTGTGTACATATATGTACTATATGTAAATACTATATGCATACATACTTGCAGCTGATAGCTAGCACTGGTATGCTTACATACATACCCGCTGTTGCTCATACGCCACGTACACCCACACGCCTCCATACATCATTCGTTTTAATTTGACTTTTGTTTGTATTTGTATATCATAAGTCACACGCTGCTGCTTTTTTTATTTATATATATATTTTTTTTTTGTATTTAACCATTTGTTGTTGGCGACGCTCTATTGTGGTGCCAGTGCAGCTGCTGCATTGGCAACGCCATTTGTAAGGCTTAAAGCCAATGTGCTGGTCATCAAGCTGGTTGTTGTGCCCGAGGCGGTAGCTGCTTCCTGTCGTTTTGTTGTTGTTGTTGTTTTTGGTTTTATGCCAGCAGCAAGCAAAGCAAGTCAGAGCAAGAGAGAGCAATAAAGAAATAAAATCAAAAAAATTTAAATAAATAAATGCATAATTGTCAATATTTTGCTTTTAATTTTAATTGTTTGCGAAATTGATCACGCCCAACTTGCGGCTGAGCGCATGTGTCGGATTTTGTTTTTCGCCGTAATTTTTATTTACAATCGCTATTTTGTGGTTGAAAAAATCGTATTTCTGCATGAGTGTATGTATATTAGGATGGTCCTTAAAATATCAACATCATGGGACACCCCTTTATATTGTTCTGCGTGCAAAATAAAGACATCCACGAAAACTTGAAAAAAAAAAAAAATTGGGGTCGCTGTCATGGTTTAAAAAAATTTAATTTTTTTCATTGCAAAAATTCTACAAAACTTTACTTTGACCAGCTGTAACTCAGCGAGTTTATGAATTTTTATGAAAAAGTTTCCATATGTAAAATTTATCAGATTTCTAATCAATATTTTGTAGAATTTTTGCGATAAAAAAAATTAAATCTGGTAGAGTTTTCTAAAAATCTGTTTAAAATTTATTTCGTACGTAGCGTAGAACAAATTAAGCGGTTTTCCATAAATATTTAAGATGCTAACATATTTAAGAACCACCCTAATATACATATGCATATGTATGTATTTGTGAATATATTTGTGCATTTGGGTTTTTTCGCCCGCAATTTGTGCTTTTCGCTGTTAACTTAATTTATGACAAAACCATTTTTTAATGCTCACCATTTAGCGGCGGTCCATTTATTTTTTCTTTTTGTTTTTCTCACATCTATATTTTTTTTGCACACATATACATACAAATCCATACACATATGTGCATATGTATATAGAACGATTATGTGCTTGAATTAGCTATTGTAAATAGCACTTTATTTGCTTATGAATTTTTATTGTATTTGTTTATTTTGCACTTACAATACTCAGCGTGCGCACAATGCAGGCGGGTTGTGAGTTTTGCTCCTGCTGCTGTTGCTGTTGGTCCTCCTGATCCTCATGCTCCAATGCTGGTGAACTACCCCGCGATGAAAGTGAACCATTTAACATTTTTACATCCTCTGTATGATGATGAGCACTATGCGGCAAGATCGAAATATGGCCATCCATGGGGGAATCAGCCTGAAAAGTTGAAAGCAAAAGAATGGTAAATAGGTGGTATACAAGCTCAAAAAAAAATTCTCAAAAGTGGTTTTTGTTTTATTACATTGAGCAATTTAAATGTGTTTTAATTTTTAATGGTAACTCTTTACTCTATGCAAATCTTCTCACAAACCAAATTACTATTTCTTCAACGAAATTATAAAATACTCAGCTGGTGCTACGTCAATAATTCGTTGTGTCCACTCCCAGTGACTTTTGTGGGTTCTTTAACCCTGGACGTGCTTTTCGAGTCGATTCGACAATATTATATTAGCAATCGTGTTACGCTTCGTAATTTTCTCCGAAGTCATTTACCTTTTTGTTTATTATACGTAACAGAGAAAAAATTAAATTCCGATCGAAAAATATTAATTTCCAAGAATTCTATACCGTTCTTACAAAACAGTGATTTTTTCCCTAAATCTAAAATCATTTTTCAACAAAAAAATACAAGTATTCTTTTTTTCCATTTACAAAAAACTAAATAGAAGGAAAGAACTTAACGTATTAAAAATTTTTCCCGCATGTATGTATTTTTGACCACACTAATGACATCGACATCATCGGTAACAAGAAGTCTTCTCTGCCTTTTCCAAGTTGGATAAGGAAGCAAAGCGAATGGGTCTGGCCTTATCCACCAACTGAGTGCTGTTGTTGTACTGTGCACTTCACTCCCTCCACAGCATTAGGATATAGCAGAGAGAGATAGACAGCTAGTTTAATCCGTTCATAGGTATGTATTGGAAACTCAGTATAAGTGATTTGGTATGTAACAAAATGCATTCGTTAAAATTTTGTAATAAAAACATATTATTTGGAAGTCAAAAAAATTACGCTTTGTCAACAATTCAAGACTGCAGTTTTACTGTAGTAACTTCATGGCTTTCAACTCAACTTTCATTGATAGAAATCAATAAATTCATCTTCTCCTCCAGTATTTAGATCAATGACTAAGCAAATGCCAACAATCAATGCACCAGCCTGAGCTAATATGGCTTAATAATGCTGACAATTGGCGATGGACAAACGACAAAACTCCAACCAAAAAACAAACAGTGTACTCACAGATAATGCAAATACAAACACAAATACGAGAATTGGTACTTACAGTGGGTGTATCTGCATATACATATGTAAGTAGGCATACATATGTTTGCACTTACAAAAGCAAACAGAAACACAAATACAACAATGACAAAGACATGTTTGTTGCGTTTGCAAATGAGCCCAAAACGACAAAATCTCCACCCCCGCTGGCGACAAATGCAGCTGCAGTCAAAATGCCTGCAACGCGTACTAACAAACGCACGCACTCACGCTCAAATCCATCCACCACAGGAAACATGCATCTACCTACCACTTACCTCTTCTTTGGCAATTGCGGAATTCGGACTATTACAAATGCCAAATTTGCCATCCATGCAATGATCAGCATCGGCGGTGACATGTCCGTTGCTGGCGTTGAAACCATTATTACCAGCAGCAGCAGCGGTCGAGCCGATGGTTGTTACTATGTCGATGTTGTTGTTTTCTAATTTGCCAGCTACCAATGTTGGTGCTTGTTTCGTGGCCAATGTTTCGCTTGTTGGCGACATTTGTATTTCATGGCCACTAGTTATGTTATTGTTGTTGGTGTGATTGTTGCTGCTACTGTTACATGTGGCTATATTCTTGTTATTACTATTGTTGTTGTTATTATTTAACTCGATCTTAAACTGTGAAGGCGATGACGGAAATTGTACACTGTTGGCCAAATTAGCGTTGGCCATAGTGTTGGGTTTGTTGTTGTTGTTGTTGCTGCCGCTGCTGTTGTTGTAGTTGGCTTGAGCGCTCGTGGCAGTGGTGAATACTGTTGCATTGTCGTTGTTGTTGTTGTTGCTGCTGCTACTGCTTGTTGAAATATTGGCGACATCAGCAACAACAGCACAATCGGTATTGTTGCTGTAATTGTTATTAGCCTCATTGCCCAATTCGTAAATGTTGACCATGTGTGCGGCCTGAGCGTGCACCATCAGATCCCAGGGATTGGTAAAGGCGTCCTTGCAAACCGCACATAACAGTTTGGCGCTCATTGGCGGTGTTTCTGAAAGGAAGCATAATAAGAGCGAAAATGAAATTGTTTGCTTTTGTAAGAGTAGCGTTTATTATACATACATACGTATTTTGAAATAGAAATCACATTTTTAATGAAACTTTATCAGTGTATCCGTTTCGAGTTTTAAGGAAATGTCCTTTAAAATTGAATTGTAATGCCTATATGAGACGTTTCATGCCAACATGCCCCCCAAAATTGAGGTCTTTCAAAATTATTGCTCATGATTCAATAATAGAAAGGTTTTGTAATAAAACAGTCTTCTCGCTTCCACACATAAAATCGGCTCCTTTACTTGTGCAGAATGTTGCTTACTCTACAGTTTCTAGTGATATTAGTAGTAAAACCAAAAATTCTTCATACTAAATATTCGTGAGCATCACCTTCGTTTGCGTAATTTTCTAGAACAAGTGTAGAATAGCGACCGTTTAGCTATAAAATAACCAAAATTCCGATTGATAGAACTTTTTACGCTGATTTCAACGATACCAAATTTATTTGGCGCAGGTAAAAAATAAAGAAGATATTAGAGTTTATTTGCTTTATTTATTTGTATTTTTTATTGTCACTAAATAGTTGAAACCCAAAAGTAGATTATGACGAAATACGTAATATCGAATTAAAGGTAATAACTTGTACGTTCTAAATAATATAAATTTGTTTACCATTAATTATGCAGTTTTTTCAAAAAAGGTTATTTCATGAAAAAATAACATTTGTTCGTTTTTTAGTGGTTTTGGTTTAAAAATACAAAAAGCTATAAATTATTTACATCAGGTGAAAGAAAAATTAATTATCTTCATGGTGACGTCATTAGTTTTTTAATCGGTTATATAGTTCATAAGATATTAATATTTAAAAAATCTAAAACCTGAAATTTAATCTTCTAGAACGTCTTCATTTTTCAATTGCGCCAAATAATTTTCACATGGTTGAAATGAGCATAGAAAGTTCTATTGATCTGCATTTTTCCTTTTTGCATAGCTGAACGGTCGGTATTCTAGATTTCTTCCAGGAAATGACGAATAACTGAAATCAAAAATGCATATTTTTATGTATTGTTTAGTATTTCCATTAAAACACCAAATATATTGCAAATTCGCATAGAATTAACAATACACGTTTTTCTTCTAATTGCATACTTTTTGTACCTTTTGTAGTACCTTTCTACTACCGTTTTCGAGAGGTTAAGTCTATGAAAGATAAACGACATGGACGCAGGCGAACGCAGCTGTAATCTATTTTGCTATCAGCTTAAAGTGTACTTATACTCACCAGAAAAACACTAAGAGTGCATAATGTCACAGAAATGTCCTTAACCCTGTAAGGACTAGGAAAACTTATGGGAACCTGATGTGGAACCGCCGTTGCGTGCTATTGAACTTGATATTGAATATGAAGACAAATCCTGTTTCAATCGATAATTCATCTACCATTTCTCAACGCGTAAAATGCGTATTCAAATTCTTACGCAAAAATTCTATACATACAACATCGACCTCCAGTGTCCTTTGATAACTGCTGGAATATTTGTTATCAGAAAAAAACTCCTTAAAACCGGTTAGCAGAGATGTTTAGAATCGAGTCAACCACTTAGTTTAATATTTCCACACTTTTCGAAATTAGGAATTTCTGCCTCTCTCTCAGACCACTGTGCGACGGTATTTTGTAGAAAAATCAAACTAGAAAATTTTCGTTGTGCAACTATGTTGAATTTCTCTAATTTGTATACAAAGTTAGAAATTTGGATTTACATGGCTTTTGTTAGACAAATCGTTTTTCTCGGGTATAAAACAGGTACACATACTACTGGTAATTCCTTTATTTTAAAAAAATATTGTGCTGTAAAAAATTATTTTTTCTTTAATGGAGATACTGAGAAATGGATTTTTTTTCATAGTATTGTATTTAAAGTTTGTTGTCCAAAAAAGATACGAGCATTGCTCATATGTACATTAGAGTGGTCAAAGAGTAATTTTTCCGAGATAGTGTTTGGGGCACCTTTCAACATATTTCCTCTTGCCGAAAGAGGTGCTGGCATCAAACTTTACGTTTCTAAGTAGTAATTTTGGGGATGCTCATGAAATGTTAATATATTACTCCAGGAGAATTTTTTACATATATAAACCAAGCGATTGGTTAGGCAGCCTAAGAAGAACATTCTAAATTTAAATTAGCTAAAAAATAGTAATACAAACTTTAGTTGTAATGGCAAAAGTAGCTTTTTTTAAATCACTAATATTTTTGTCAGTTTCAAAGCGATTCTGTACCACATATCAGGGCCGAGCACCCTATATTGGTTAGAAAAGAAAACTGAAGGTTAGTATAGATCTTACAAATACCAAAAGAAATAAACTTATTAAATGCCCTATTTCCTATGAAGAGATTTTGTCCCTTATACAAAACTTGGTCCACTCTTATGTACATACATATGTATGTATTTAAACTATTTCAAAAACTATTTGGCCTTTGAAAAATCCAGTATATTCTAAAAAGCATCTTAGCTCAGAGAAGGGTCATAAATATATTAGTAAAAACAATTTGTACTGAGGAACGTCGTTTGAATACCATAAGCGAAAACTATATATTTCAATATTTGGCACATTCAGTACGCCGGATAAACATTCTTGGCAAAGGCGCTTGTAATAATTTATAATACTTAGGGCGTGTGTGAATCGGTAACGAAGTTCTATGGGGAAAGCTGTTGAATAATATTTTTACTATGGTGAGAGAGTTTTGCCAATTTGCTGCGTGAAATAAAATATTTTTTGACAGCATTACATTCTTGATAACTGCAGATTTATGCGGCATAAAATATTAAAAATCGAAGTGGAATTAATATTTTAAGAAAACATCTACCATCGCTGATCGCAATTCATCAATTAAGGTTTTTATTTAACGAAAAAATTCACACATCAACAATCTTTGCGATTGTCAAAATTTTCTATTCATTTGTCAAAAATTTCACTAGCCTCATAACAAGGCGAATTAATATAAGGTGGTGTTACTAGCTCAGCTGATTTTGTGTATGTGTTTCGCCGCACGGCTTCTGATATCAAATTGAAAAATTTTGTTTGAATTTCTACACACACTATTACAGATTTTGACAGTTTATGCCGCCAAAGCAAAAACAAAATACATGTAAATTTTGGTTTTTGTACTCCTGCTATCACCTTATATTAATTCGTCTTGCCTCATAAGCTACTGAAATCTTATTCACCTCCTAGTTGTCAAAAATTTACTCGCCGCGAACTTTGTTACCGATTCACACACGCTCTTACTTCATAATGGTGAATAATATTATAAATATCGACCTCTATCGATTGATTAGGTACTAGGTTGTATGGTCCCTTTTATGACTCTGCCAAATTAATTCTTAATGTTAAGCTTATTCATTCCCAACTCAAAAATGAAGCTCTAATAGTGGTCTTTATCCATAGGACTTTATATTTAATATCCATCTGTCTACAGTTAGTTATTTCATTGGAGAAATACCTACGTATGTAAATATGCATATGCGGAGATTTTTATACGCGTATTTAATAAAAATGTTAAGGAATACATAATAATTTTACTATATTAATCAATTTAAAATACAAATATTTACATGCTTAATTACTGCCTTCTTTTCCAACCAGACTAAATGTGAATTTCTAAAAAGTTTCGCTCATAAAATATTATCATGTTTTTATTTTATATTCTTAAGAGAAATAGTTATAGCCACACTTTCACTCAGCGCAGTGAAGTAATAAAATTTACAATCCAGACTACATGTATCAAAACAACAACAACAGAGAAACTTTCGCACTAATTCGGAAATAATCCTTTTTGCCAGCAGCCAACTTAAACAAAGAGCCCTGAAAACTCACACTTGCCATCACTTTCACCTTCGGAGAAGAGCAGTCGGCGTAAAGCTCTATATATGCATGCAAAGGGTGAATTGCGCTCACCAGAATGCCTAGAAATTCTTTTACAAATTGAGTATGATTTCAAATGAGTATGCTGCCCTGCAGAAAATAACTACGATTATGGTACTCCTGCCAGCACTTGCAAAGGCAGAAAACAAAATATAAAATCAAAAGGATTTTTTTTACCTATTTACTCATTAAGAGGATAAGTAATTTAGGACTTTCGCTTAGCTGTTGAGGTTCCTAGCGCCATAAATTGATTTTGCAAGCTGTGTAAACTAACAAACTTAAATCGAAGTCAAACTAGATTTTAAAGCGCTTTTTCACGACGTCGACTCTGCTTGAGGTCTACAAAACGCTCAAACCTTTTGTCGCAAGGCCATCTCAATGAAAAACTGGTACCTTTTAGCTTTTCAGTTGATTCAATAGGCAACTGGAATCAAATCATTTGTTTCACCAGAATTATACTCCTAACGAAATTAGCAAAATACCTGTAGTGAGTTCACACAAAATAAATAAATATGGCTCACAGGCCTATTAAAAGCAGACATGTTTCAGTTAATAATTTCCTGCTGGTACTTAATAATTACATCCCCATGCATGCACTGTTTTAAAAACAAGATACATGAGGGATGTCTTTTTAGACTTTCAGTTGAGAATTGAGCAAGTAATGAATATGGAACCTGTAAAATAAAAAGATTTCATATGAATTTAAATAGCGCAGGAAAATTTAGTAGACTTTCGAGGTTTCAAGTATTTTAAAGTTGAAAATATTCTTTTAAAAATCACGATTTTATTTTTTCGCCCGCCCGGTCTTATTTTATGGCTATGAAATACTACCAATCCGTAATCGGCAAACTTTCATATACATATGTACATATTTATTAAATGCCCCTAACAAGCTGACACAAAATAATAAAATTTAGCTAGAATCAAAACAAAAATCCTTAGCTCTATAAAAATCAGGACAACCTTAATTCCCTATATAAAGCAGACAGGGAGAAAGAAGGAGTCAAATGATGGCTGCTAGCCAAACATGTGCAAACAAGTGTTGGCCGACACGTTTGCAAAAGTGTTAAACAATAATAAATTAATTACAAACAACAGCATCAGCAGCAGCCAACAAACAGGAAACACAACAATACTTTATGCAAATAATACACAACACCCATACAAATTACTGCAAGATGCAAAGCAAGTGTTGCAATAACAATTTTGCATTTGAGTACTTCTTCTACAAGGACGCTGTACACATAAGCATACTTACATACATAAATACTCATGTGTCTAGCGTTAGCGCTACTGCTGAAGTGAACACTTGACGTGGGTGGTGTGGGTGCAATAACAATAAAATACTACTACTTCTGCCAGCACACTTGGCGCTTGGATAGATACTTACTTGCAGCGAATGCAAGATCCTGGCACTTGCAAGTGAAACGCAACTTGCAATAACTCCGTTTGTGGTCTAATAACTCAGCCAGTTCGTTGAAACATTCCCGACAATTGCCGCAAATTAATGTGTCCGGATTGCCTGCAAAAAATTGAGGAGAGATACATATGTAAGTATGGATTCTTTAAAATTGATTTGTGTATAAATTATGTATGCGTAATGAAAATATCCAGAGACCCAGAATAATAATTATTACATGGTGGATTTTTAAAAAAGTCATCCAAATTTTCGTAAGAATTATAAAATTCTTTTGATAATAATTATGTGTGACAAAATTTTTTTTAGTCATCGATAACTATTATTTTAAGAATTTTATAATAAAAGTTTTTTCATAATAATTATCAGCGATATAAATTTTTTAAATCTTCAAAGACTTTTATTTTGAGACTTATATTATAACAGTCTTGTCTTGTTAGTTCTTCAAAGACTTTTATTTTGAGACCTATATTATAAGTCTTTTGATAACAATTATGAGTGCGAACAAATTTTGTATATAGTCCCGACCGGGTCCCAAACCAAGCCCCAACTGGTCCCAAAGCACTCCCCAACTAGTCTCGAACTGATGCCCACCTAGCCCCGAACTGGTCCCCAACTAATCCTGAAATGCGCCTCAACAAGTCCCGTCTTTTAATACTTAACAAATTTTTTCGCGCTCATAATTGTTATGAAAAGACTTTTATAATATAAGTCTTAAAATAAAAGCCTTTGAAGACTTATAAATATTTATCTCTCTGATAATTATTATGAAAGGACTTTTATAATATAAGTCTTTGAATAACAATTATAGATGACTCGAAAAATATTTATCTTAATATAATGAATATTGATTGACTTATATGCTTTTCTCTTATAATAGTATGTCTCTGAAAATGTCACAATCTCATCTGTAGTCATCAGATTGTTGTTTTTTTGTCAGTAACTCCCAGTAAAATTATGTACTGAATATTTTTGTAGAACATTTCAACCCTCTTACTGTCCTTTTTAATGCACTTCTTTTAAAAAGAGTAAAAAATATCCACAAAAGGCGGGGTGCGAGATTTAAAATTTTTACTACAAAATTACTCGCTAAATTTTCCTACCTACCAGTGAAGGCAAGAATTTGATTTATAATTTTTAATATAATCGACCTCAAATTTAGAAAGACCAAATGGGTTTAAATACAGTTCAAAACCTTATCCTTCGTTTTATTTATTACTTAAAAAGTGGATTTTATAAAAACAAACATTCCTATTTTACGTTCTAAAGAGCGTAGGAGGTTGAAAACCTCATCATGATCATCTAAGAGTATATACCTCCACCGCGGTATTGCATTCGCTACACTAATTTAAAAAAAAAATCCAATAAAGGCCCTACCGCTGAGGAAATTAAGGAACAATTTGACGGATGAGTGGAAAATCACCCTATCTCGGCTGCCGGTATTTGTGAAAAGTATAGCCTGGGGGTCTATGTCGTCAGCGATAGTGCACTTCAATCCAAAGATTGTAATCAAATTGGAATGTATTCCATTTATTTTGGTGCGTACTATTGGATAGTTGCCTGATTGCGAAGAAACCAAAAATTATTAAAAGTAACGTCCCACATTCTGCGACGAGGGCCATAAGCGATCCTAGAGCTTTGATTGTGCATGGTTGTGAGTGTGTAGATATAAAATTTTCTAGTCGGTATTTGAACTATATGTAGCCCGACAACTGTCCATTTTATTGCGGTAACTTCTGACTAATGGAGAGCTCCTGATAGAACACCCCTCCTTCGAATCTACTATCCAAACTTGACTCTCCCGAGAATGCGTTTAGAGCAGTGTTGCCGTTGGGCAATTTGACCCTTTTCAAGCGCCAATACCTTTTTGAAAATTTTGTTTTATTGACCCTTTTCCAAAATTATGTGCGACTTTTGCCCTTTCAGAGATTTTTTTTAGGAAATGTTAACAGAACCGTGCTATTAAAAAATATTTCCTCTTGTAAGTCCGAAAAAATTCATAATTTAAAACCTTTAACGGAAATGCAACTCTTCTCCTTGCAACAACCAGATTTATGTATACGCTGCAACCTTGTTTTGTGCAAAGCTTGTCCCGATATTTTCTTTTTAAATTCAACGGATTTATTCTTTTACTAGTAGAGAAAAGTAAAAATAATATGGTGACCCTTTTGTTCATCAATGACCCCTTTTTTGCGACTTTCTGAAAATTCTCAACGGCAACACTAAATATGAGCTCCTTCTTTCCAGAATTAGCAGCGAGTTCGGAACTAGAAGGCCAATTTTCGACATTTAAATTAACCCAAATAAACTTTCCTCTAACCCGAAATTCTCTCATTAAGAATTCTTCCACAACTTCGTTGATAGCAGTAATCCTGCGGAAACGTGAGAGCATATCCCTACCCAGCATATGATAAGAGGCACTGCCCAACTTTGTCACGAAATTTCTGTCTCGCAGCTTTCGGGAGATAAGCCCAAATAAATTATACTTGATTCCAACTAAGCCCGGCTATAACTGAGATACAAAAAAAATTATTCAGATATTCACGAAATTCTAGCCACAGATACCTTGTTTGCTGTAAGACTTTTCGCAATAACCTGTAAAAAATCTTTTCGGTTTGGTCTATATTTAAAAAAAAACTGCGCTCACTTTTTTCTTGAGTCCAACAGTCCAGAGTTTCCAAAACGCTATTTTCCTTTGTCCCAGCTCTGCGAAGCATTCTAATTGATTGCTGGCTTGTGGAAAATGTCTCACAATCAAATGATTCATGAATAAATCTCCTCGGTTATCGCAATACTGCCTGGCTCTTGCTTTCAGTTCAAAATTATCCATATTTCTTATTAGATTGTGTGCGGGCTGGGCATGAAAGCTACCTAGGTACATGGAAGACCGAATGGCTTTTAGTGCTATCCTATTCATTAATTTTTATTTTTAACACCCAAATCAACGCTAGTAAGTAGATAAAAATGTGCACCTTGCCTCAATAGCCTTCCACAAAACCAATGAAAATTTTAGGCATGATCATGAAAATTTTTAAATCTAATTAAATAAAAAAAAGTATCCAGTTTTTACAAAAAATGTCTACCTTATATTTTAGACTAATTTAAATAGCGAATTACAAGATATGGAAAACAAAATCCACACTTGCTGAAGGCAAAAATCAAAACATATTTTGTCCTTCAATGTCCACATTTCCCTCCCAGCTGAAAGACAAGTCTGGCACGTCCATATCTTGCCAATCTAGCACACGACTATTAGATTCTTCGCGAATATGACGCGGCCTTCGCATTATTGATTGCCTGAGAGGCTTTACTACCTCTACAAATTGCGCATTGCCTACATTCTTAGCTGCTTTCTTCGATTTGTTTTCGCGAGCAGCTTTACTTTCTCTAATTGTATGCGCTTTGTCGAGCTCTGAGTTTATAACTCCTTCAGATTTTCGGAGATTTATATTCCCATACAGTCTGCTATTTTGTCGTCTGTATTTACTTGTGCTTCCTTTATTGAGCTGTTTGATTGATTTCCTACGATGAAGTATGTCTTTTACCTTGGCTTTTTGATGGCATTTATCACAGTTGGGTTCCGACTTAAGCCATTTGCCGAAGAATCTTTGCAACGGCGATAGACTTTTTGGCGTTGCGCTTGAAAACTCATTCGGTAATTCGTTTGGTGGTTTATTTGTATTTCCACACTTCGATGTCCTTCCCAGCAAGCGTCCCATAAAGCTTAACTTTTGCTGTATTGGATCATTTGCCTGTTCTTTACGAAAGTTTTCCAAAGAAATTTCCGCTTTACTCTTCTGCTTAAATTGTGGAGTTTCCAAGCCACAGCCGCTGGCTCCACCAAACGTATTATCAAGCAAGTAATCAGTGCTGAAATTTGTATCCATGTCGGAATCGTCATCAACTTGTTTTTTGCTAGAATAATTTGACTCTTTACCTATCTGTGGTATTGGCATTACAAACTGTGTTGGAGCGCTCACTTCCAACCCATCCTCACAAGGCTTTTTACATAGGTTCGCCGACTGTGGAGGTCTCTTCAACTGCGTCTGACTAAAATGTTGTAGGTTGTGATTCTTACCCGCACACTTGTCCGCCATGAGCTGTGGTGGCGGCGCTTTAGTTGGACAATATGGCACCTTGACTTTCATTGCATCCTCAAAGATGCCAGACTGATCGTCCTCATTGGCCTGCTCGTAATCGAAGCTATCTACATTTTTACTATCCCTAACAAGTTTCGGGTCATTTTCTTCATCCGGATAGTCTGCATTTTCATTGTTTTTATGGTTTCCATTGGAGTTCGACGAGTGCTTGAGGCTACGCAAATAATAACGTTGATAGCGCGGTTGGTCCGCATAGTGCACCAACGTCAACATTTTGGACGTATTTACTGGCTTGCTTTCACGTTCCTTCAGCTCACGCGCCACTCTTCTGAGAGTTGCGCGCATGGAAGGTCTACGCAGTACCAACACATTGTTTCCGGATTGCCGACGCTGCTTATGGAACCGGCGTTTTTTCAGCGCGTTTCTTACAGTCGTTGGCCTCGTGGTCGTGGTAGCCTGCTTGGCGGGCTCAGTGATAGGAAAGCACATTGTGGCATAAGCAGTTACGGATTGCGTTGTAACTTCTGTGGTGGCATTAGCAGGCCGTAGAGTCATGGAGGCTTCATTTACGCGCGCCGCAGCTGTCGTTGTCACACTTGTGTTATATACCTGAGTCACTTGCTGTCCTGGAGTCACTTGATATCCTTGTGTCACTGGATATCCTTGTGTCACTTGATACCCTTGTGTCCCCGGATAACCCAGAGTTGTCGCCTCCTGCGAGCTCTTAATCGGTTGCTGAGTCCTCGTCGCAGAGGTTGTTTGATATGATTGTTGCATTGTGGCTTCTTGGGTACCATTGGAAGATGGCACCGTCGGATATGCCTGCGCACTCACTTCTTTTGGCCCATTCGCTTCTGTTACTGGGAAACACATGGTTTGGTAAGCTACTGGTGAACTAGGCGTTGTAATCGCTGCTCTATTAGTCGGCACATTGGCTTCAGTCTGAGGCGGTCTCTCCGTTGACGAAGCTGAAGTTTGTGTTGTAGAACTCGATTTCGCGTCAGCTGTGGTTGGTTCGATTATCACAAATCTGAAAGGTGGTCGATATGTGACTTCCTCCTCTTCTACTTCTTCTTCGTCCGGTGCACAAGTAGTTGCGTGTACCTTTTCTTGCTTGGCTCTTTCCTTTTCTTTTGGAGGATTAGCTGTGGTTGGAATAAATCTGAAAGGTGGCTGATATTGGGAATCATCTACTTCTTCTTCATCAGGTCCACATGTAGTGCCCGATTCTTCCTCTGTTTCGTCTATGCATTCGTCTTCCGTTTCTTCTTCTTCATCTTGTTTCATTTCAGTGGTAGTCTCCTCGCTTTTCTCTTCCTGTGGCTCACTTGGTTTGTGCTCGTCTGTTCTTCCTGTCACCGATTTCTCTCTATGTTCCTCAGTTCGCTCTGTACTATATTTGTCGTGGTGTTTCTTCGGTGCACTTTCGTTTATCTCTTCTTGTTCACTGCTGGGCGTTGTGGTTTTATGCTGCTTGCATTCTGGCTTATCCATATTTGGTTCGTGTTCGGGGCGTGGTCTTTCATTGGTGCCTTGATCACCAGCATGTGTGCTCGCTTCGACTTCAGTTTCCTTATGTGCATGAGTGATTTCTTCAGCATCAATTCCATGTTTTCTCGTAATGGTTTCCTCCTCGCTATTTTCATTTTCGTGCTGGGTTTTTGTTTTGTTACACTTTTGTGTAACCTCCTCTACTTCTATTTCGTGTTTGCTCGTAACCATTTCTTCCTCATCCTTTTGTTGAGATTCCGTTTTGTTTGATCGTTGCGTAGCTTCTTCAACATCTGAATCGTGTTCTCTGGTAACTGTTTCTTCTTCCCGGCTTTCGCTTCTGAGTGTGGTATGCAAACTCGGACGATGATATTGCATGCGGCTTGTGGCAGCGGTTACAGGTTGTGCTTCGGGTTCGAGTGTTGTAGTGCAGGCCTTTGTGAACATATCCATTGATGGCATTGTAAAGTCTTCAGCGTGTAATGTGCGTGGCGTAGCTATGGGGTGACTGCCGAGATCATTGAATTCTTCCTTCTGTTCACCTGGCTGTCGATGTCGATCATCTTCTTCTGAGTCGCCTTGTTTTTGCTTTACAGTTTTCATTGCATTGGCCAACATTCTGCTTTTCAGTTTTAGCAACCCCTCAATATACTCACTGCGCATACTTGCACCGTGCGCAACGTTTCGCCGCAAATAATGTGCTTTTAATAAAAATATATTTGCTATCAAAATTATAAAAAGCAAGTAATTCTTTTTTGAAAAATACATTTCAAGAATTTGAAAACATATTGGTTTATGTAAAAATAAAAAGTCAAAAAATTGCTGTCATATGTTGCTTTTAGACTTTTTCTGAATAGAGAAGAATATGCGAAAGTGATGATGTGCTTGGTTTCGAAATTCTTTAAGAAATCGATAAGTTTTAGCTGACACTTTACAAAATTGAAAACTTCTTTACCAACCTTAAAAATTTGGGAAGAAATATTTCCTTTCTGATTTTGATATGGGCATGATTGGGATGATTGATATGTATGTATTATCAGAAAGAATAAAAAAAGAAAAGCTACAGATACATTAAAAACTATGATGGTCCAATAAACAAATTAATATTAATTTAAAATGGAGCTCTACATTTCAAAAATCGCTAAACTGTTCTTCGATACGAAATGATATTTTGAGAAATTTTGTTTGTTGGACCGCGAATTTTTTTATAAGATTACGATTTTTGGTTATTTCCTTAAATCTGAGAGGGCGGGTCTTTAAACGCCGTAATATTGAGGTTTTTCCGGTGTCCATACTCGAGGGATTTGTGTGAAAATTCCGATTTTCCATAATACTCAGATTTCAGTCATTATTTCACGAAAATTTATTTTGTTCTCAAAGGGAACCCCGAGGGTGTCCCGAAGGACTATTTTATTTCGAAAAAAATAATATCCCTGTCTCTACTTCAAAATCAAAAAATATTTAGAGGTCGCTCAAAATTGTCCAAGCTTTTTATACGGGAAAAAACATTGTTTGTGGAAATGGTATAGTATTCTTAAAAATCAATATTGCGTCACGAATACGATGTTTCTCTTCAGGAGGCTTCCAGTAAAAATACTAAGTTTTTTATTTTACCCATTTTTAATACTAGCGATTTTTTGCGTTTTTAGGGGACCTGTAAAAATAGTTAATATTAAAAAAATGGCTAAATAAACCATTTCGTATTATTATTGAAAGTCTCCTGAAGAGAAACAAAAATATTGATTGTCAAGAATGCTGAACCATTTCTAGGAATACATTTTATATCCCATTTAAAATACATGGAAAACTTTGAGCGATTTAAGCGACCTATAAATATATTTTGATATCCACATTAAAAAAGAGGTATACTTTTTTTCGTTGTAGAACAATCCTAGGGTGTGAGAACATTAAAATTTTGACTTTTATTTTTTAATTTTTGACCACCCTAATATACCAACACTAGTGCAACATTAGCCCTGGTATTCAAGAATTCAGTCTCATCTCAATTCACTTAATTTGAGACTAGCAATTAGGACTATTTTTGTGAATTGAGGTGATTTGGGTATTCAGTAGGAGAGAGTCACAAAAATTTCACCAAAAATGTGTGGTGAAAACAAACACAGACAGTCAACTGATAGCATTTATGAATGCCTTTTGCTTGCGCCTCTCCAAGATTGGCAAAGGCCGAGTGTTCAAGGCATTAGACCGCCGCTCGAAAGATCTGGGTTCAAGTCCTCCTCGGACGCACATAATTTTTTATTTTGTTTTTTCCTTATTTTTGTTATTTTTATGCTTTTTTTTATTAATCTTTAGATTTTAATGTTTAAAAAAAAATATTAAAAAAAATTTTTTTCAATGAATTTATTTCCTAATGAAATTGTTGTTGCGCAAATATTTCTTCGCTTCATTTTCAAGTTTTTTTTTTAATAAAACAGAAAGCAATAAACTTTTCCTCCACATTTTTCTATTTGTGACCAGCTCGGAGCCAACTGACAAATTACTGATTTTTTTAGACTAGAGACGTGAGACAGCTTACTAAATACCAAATAGTCTCAAAATCCATATTCACCACCAAAACTCACTATTAGTGCCTAGAGACTGCTTACTGAATCCCACAGTCAGCAGTGTAATACAGCATGCACGAATCACTCATCGCTTACTTCGTTCCCCAAACCAACTCGGAACAGCGCACACCAACGAATTCTCAAACAGTACATGGCATTAGGCATATAAAGCATCGAACTTGTGCGCAGTAAAATCAGTCTTGCTAAGTAAGTAGTTGGCTTAACTGATCTGCTGGCGTGGGAGAAATGCCTAAGCTAACAGCCACTTAAACCAGAGAAATGAGTTGGAGCCAGTCTTCGGACATGTAGCACACCCTCTCCTGGTTAAACCAAGCAGAAGGCCGGCCTGAGAACATGCCCTCCAGGTATGAAACCGGAGAACGGATTGAAGGCGGTCTTCGAGCATGTAATCTGATTCTATTAGGAGCCCCCCGCTTCTTAACCCTCCCCGGATACCTGAATACAGAATACATATTTCAAAACCTTTTTCATAAAAAATCAAAGGCGAAGTTGAAAGTGCTAGCATCCGTCTTCTCTTATCCAGGCTAACTCTAACCGAGAGTGAAGCACTAAACCCACCATAAATCTATCTGTATACCTGACTTTTTGTGCTTAAAAGTATGCGTGCATGTACGCACAATATATCTCTTTCCTGTGCGAGTATTGCCTCACAGTTTAACAGTTTATCTCCGTTACTGGCCAATTGTCAATAGTCGTATGGATCAATACTTACTGTAAACTTTGAACGGTCCCCACTGTTGATTCGTAGTTAATTGCTCTTGTTGCTGCTGCAGCTGCTGTTGTTGTTGCTGATGGTTTTGCTGCTGCTGCTGTGTTTGCTTTTGCAACAGCACTGATGACTTATGCTGTTGTTGTTGCTGCTGCTGCTGTGGTGACTGATGCATGCTGTTCAGTGACAACGTTAACGGCTGCAAGCCACCACCACCACCACCACCAACATACTGTGATTGTTGTTGTTGATGCTGCTGACTGTGACCATTTACCAAGCTGCCATAGCTGGTGGCTGTTGTTGACATTTGCTCGTTACCCACACCGCCAGCACCAGCCGTGGCGCCACCACCATTCAGCAGTGATGTTTGATTAGCGGCAGCAATTATTGCCGACGTAGCATTTTGCACGGACGACGATTTCAATTGCAAACCACCTGCCGCCGCTGCGGCCGACAATGTGTACTGACTGACCGCTGCCGCCGCCTGTTGCTGTTGCTGCTTAATTTGCTGCTGTTGTTGCAAGAACACGTTGAGATTGTGCTGAGCCGCATTGGCAGAGGCGGCGCCACCACCACCACCACCACCCCCTGTAACGCCATTGCATGTGGCCGCTGCTGCAGCAGCTGCGGCGGCGGCTGCTGCCGCACTATTAGCATTGCCCAACAAGCTATGCTGGTGCTGATGTAGCAACAATTGTTGCTGTGGCAACAAATTGGCTGTCATAGCGGCCATGGCTACAGCGGCCACTTGTTGTTGATGCTGTTGTTGTTGTTGTTGTTGATGTTGGTGTTGGTGTTGCTGTTGCACTTGCTGCTGATGGTGGTGCGGATGGGGCAACAAGTGGGAGGTTTGCTGCTGCTGCTGTTGTTGTTGCTGTTGATGCAACTGCTGGTGTTGTTGGGCCAGTGCGGCCGCAGCGACAGCAGCATTTATGTTGCTGCTATTCACTGCATCGCTGAGCATTCGCGATGTGGTTGTCATTAGGCGTTTACGCTTTTTCGGACGGACGCCAGATGAACGAAGCAGCGCCGACGAGCAGTAGCTGTCATAGAAGTAGTCCCTG